AGGGTGTTCAAAATTTGAACTTTATGCAAGGGTATTCAAAACCTATCTTTTATCAATAACGAGTAATATTTTATTTTATACACAGTATAATTTTTCGACGAAGGGTGTTCAGTTGACCACCATTGGCCACACGTAGCTTCGCCCTTGAATCTAGTATTTCAATTCATCACATTTGCTTCGTTTTATTTCCTTTCTTTTTTCCTTTTTGTGGAGATTAATTATTACCAGTAAAAGGCAATGAGCGTCTTTTCCTAATGTAGATGTTTTAATAAACTGAAACTCAAAAGAAACTTTTAAATACCAATTTTGATTAGATGATCTATCACGAGTTTGGAGGACGAATAAAACAAAGTGCGTACAAATTTCTTTTTCCTCTCTTTCTATTTAGACAAAAAAAAAATCGGATTATTGATCAAAAGAAGAAATTAACGAAGGCGTATATGGCTTCTTCGACGTTAAATACAATAGCATAAATATATCTACCCCTTTCGTTAGTTAAATATATGATGATGGATTAAGCCTTTAACTGTTGAGAAAACAAGAAAAATGGCAACAGATAAAAGTACTCGTGAGGGAGAAAACTGTTGGTATTTTTTTAATAGCTGTTCAATTTTAGTTGCACCCACTGATAATAAACTTTGATGTCTTTTACTATTTCAGTGTTTGACTAATTAGAACCTACTACATTTCGTTAGTGATTTTCCACTTTATTTTACTTATGTTCCAATGACAACACCTTTTGCCCTGTTTGCCACTACACATAGTAAGGCTGCAAATGAACGTAACCTTTTGGACTAACTTTTGTCCATAATATTTTGCATGGGAAAATGACAACTCTATCGTTTTGTCTTTTTTCTTTTTTGTTATAGAAATTCCGAGTGTGCTTTTTCTAGATGGGGTTTGGTACTTTGGTTTATAGAAGTTTCCATGGAACAAGAACCTAGTATGACTTGATTCTGACCGGTGGCGTGTTTAACTTTTTTTGACGTAAAATTACTACTAATACATCGTATAAGTATGCAATTATTTAAATATGGAGATAAAAAAATTAATGAGAAAACTATAGTACCTATATGAACGATGCCCCAAATATGTGATGAATAATACAATTTACGGTTCTGGAGGAATCCTTGGTTTTTAAAAGCTCATATTCTTTTCTTTCTTTGCTATGGTGAATTAGATAAAGTAACAAAAGAAAGTTAAAAAAAAAAAAGGTAAAACAAAGTTAGAACCAAAAGAATAAATGTAGTAGTATTTGATAAACAAAAGTCGCCGGAGAAAACTTAAAGAGCAAAATAGAGACTGATAATTGGAGCAAAAGAAAGTTAGTGTTTGATAAATGGAGGAAAAAATCTAACTAGGAGCGTGAGATTCGATCTCTCGACCATAGGCTTTTAGAGCCCTTCAACACCCATCATAACCAAAGCACCCACCAAGTCTTTTGTTATCTGGGTGCTTGCTATTTTATTATATCCCTTTTATTAAATTCTCTATATAATTATACGTGTTTGGGGTCGAGGTTAATGGGTGCTCGAGCACCCAATTTTTATATGTAGATCCGCCCCTGATTCTGACCTCAGCATGATACGCATAATTCGCAGTACTCCACTTACTAGCTGCAACTTTAAGAGTTTAAGTCGTGTCTATTTCCCTTTCACTATTTACTGGCTTACTGCTGCCCCATATATGATATAGGTACATCATTTTCACCTAAATCACCTTAGTTATACACACACGCACGCACACGCACAAAGAATAAATGTTTCAGGCATTATACACACATACATACATCTATACACGCATATATAAGAGTGCGAGTGCGCAACATTTGAGTGCGCGCACACACACACTGACACATATATACATGAGTGCGGGCAAATGAAACTGTACTAGGTAAGCAATTGGTGAATGCTGAAAAACACCTTTTGTGATTCTTTTTTTTTTTTCTTTGGATGTTTGGGGCAACATTGCATAATTATTATCCCAGTTTGCATCCTATACATTAGGGGTGTACAATAGAAACCGACAAACCACACCAACCCGATAATCCGAGTCAAACCGAGAAAAAAATCTGACTATGATTTGGTTTGATTTGGTTTGGTGTTGGGAAAAAAAACCCGACCATAATTGGTTTGGTTTTAACCAAAGAAAGTCAAACCGAAACCAAACCAACCCGACATTACATATATAAAAAATTTAGATATATTTAATATATAAATATATTTATTGTTATGTAGTTTATAAATATTTCTTAAAAAATTTCATAATTTTATCTTTTAAGGTATTATTTCAAGGTAGGACTTGGAACTTCTGAATGTTTTAATAAGTTTTATAGCCATTAATATTAGTAAATTAAATAATGCTAACAAAAGCCGAATCCAAAATCAAATCAATATTAATGCTAACAAAAAATATTCAATTCAATATTACGAACGGGAATGTATTGAATATCTATTTTTTGTTTTGCAATAATTTTGGATAAAAATGCATAACTAATTTTTATTTTTTCTTTAGCGTTTAGTCATTTAATTAATACTCCCTTATTAGTCTACTTATTTTAACATGACCTAGTACTTTTAGATTATATTTATTTTTATTATGGCTTTTTAATGAGCAATATTTATATTACATAATTTTATTGTCTTTATTGTTGAATATTTTAGGTTAATGTCATTACACATCTCATATTTTGTATTATTTTCTTGGAAAATACTTTATATAGTTGTATCTTACTAGGATTAAAGAAATATTTTGAGCACAAGTTATATGTTTTGCTCTACGAAGTTTTTACCGGGAAAACCGAAAAAATCCGAATAACCCGAAAACCCGAGAAAACCGGAGATTGAAAACCCCGAGTTTTATTGGTTTGGTTTGGTCTTTAGATTTAATAACCTGACACAATTGGTTTGGTTTGGTAATTATAAAATCCGAACCAACCCGACATATGTACACCCCTACTATGCATCTCACAAAGTGAAGGATAATTATTAGATGTTCTTACAAGTTTGAGTTGGGATAACAAGTCCAACAATGGCTAATTAAATCACGGGGTATTATCACGTTTAGCCTGCATCAGAAATTATTTACATCTTATAGCCGAAAAAGTGTATAAAATTTGTATAATTTTTGTATATAACATACATAATGTATATATATATATACAAAATATATATATTGTTTCGACTATTATTTTTATAGCACCTATATAGTGTCATTTTTCCTTAAATATCTCTGCAGAATAGCAAGCCCAACAAAGATCTCAGCCCAATAATAAACTTAATGTACATGTTCGACCATATCCAGTAGCAAATGCTAGTGATGTGGTACCAGCTACCCGATAATAGATGGAATTTTTACCTGCTATAGCAAAGGTTAACACCTTATTTATTTTAAATAAATATCATTTAAAAAAAATTATATTTTATAGATACCTTTTAAGGTTTATAGCAAAATATTTAATTTTGGTTACCTCCTAGTCCTAAGTCACTAAATACGCTAATCAGTTACAATATTTTCTCTCTCTGTACTTTGATACATCTCATTCTCTTTCCCCATCCCATTAAAATTTCCGATACTCTTACTCTTCTTTGTCTAGTTCGCTTGCGATTTCTCCTCCGTCGATATCCTCCATTTTAGTAGGAGAATTGTTAGCAAGAAGCCGATATCCTCCATTAGTTGATTCCTTCTCTGCTACGGAGATAACTAATATACCTGGATTGGTCCCAAACCAGCCAATTCCGTTAAGAGGTAAGAAAGCAACAGAGGAAGACACCTGAAGAGCGGATCACTATATATATGAGTAGAAGACTATTAGGCAATTACTGAGAGTATGTTTTTGTTGTTTAGCTTTGTAGATTTCTATACTACCCCCATTTTTTTTTGGAGCCATTCTATTTGGATTGAGTAGCAAGTGTCGGATCCTCCATTAATTGATTCCTTCTCTGATACAGATCAAGAAGTTGTCTTGCGGCATCATATTTCCATGCCCGCAAACATGAGCGTTATTGTTGGAATTCTAATGGGGACTGTATAGCAAGTGTCGAATCCGCCAAGGCTTGTCACTGTCGTTTTCCTTCCCATTCTCCTCCTAAACTCGTTCCTCACTGCTGTATAAGCTGGCTCCACTAGCCTCGTGAATACCGTCCCTGTCAATTGAAAAAATTGAGATATGGATGTTATAGGATGATTTTCTGTTAATATATATCAATGTATTTCATTGTATTCATTGTCTTTTTTTCCATTGTATTTCAATGTATTCCGCTGTATTCTATGTATTTCATTGTATTCACTGTCTCGCTATATGCCATGAATGTATTCATAACAACAACAACCCAGTATAATCCCACTTAGTGGGGTCTGGGGGAGGTAATGTGTACGCAGGCCTTACCCCTACCCTGGGGTAGAGAGGCTGTTTCCAAATAGACCCCCGGCATCCTTCCCTCCAAGAACTTCTCACCTTGCTCTTGGGGAGACTCGAACTCACAACCTCTTGGTTAGAAGTGGAGGTTGCTTACCATCAAAGCAACCCCTCTTGTCTCCCCAAGAGGGGAGGGTAGTGTTTTTTTAATTAATATAATTTATGTATTCATATGTATTATATAATTTCTCTGAAGATAGCTATGTTTTTGGAGTATTTTTCGATTGAGAATCTTGTTTATAACTAAAAAGACAAAAATTGTTTGTTATAATTGAGTTTGTTGAGTTATATTAGGAGTCTATTATGTTAATTGATTCACTTTCCCTTTTAAAAACAGTGTCATCCCCTATTTTCACGCCGTGAATACAGTCGAATACAAGCAAATACAATAATCTGTCCAGCTGTAATCCCATGTTTCACTCCATGAATACAGTCGAATACAACAACTGATTAGTTGGACTCCCCTGATTCACGCCTATTTTTGCTATTATATTCATGAATACAATAGCTTAAATACATCAAATACATCTTATAACCACCTAAAAGGTATCTATAATCCGTAATATAGCAAATGGTATCGATAGATGGCTAATTGCTACTAAAAGATAGTGCTTTATGAAAATTTCCCATAATAGATTCTGTGAGCATGATCTTTAGCCATAGAGAAACAAATCTACAGATGTGTAACTAATCCTAAGTAACTTCTGATAGTGCTTCAAAAATTTCATTGATACATTGAGAAACAGAATCCCACAGCTCCTCTCACCTATTATATGGAAGAATCAACCCGATATAGAATTCACATTCCCTTGCTTTATGAGATCTATGATCAAGCAAAGGACGTGAATCCTTGCTGACATATCAACAGGACTACCACGAATGCAGTTGCTTTGTTAACTCGGATTTCATACCGCAACCAAAAGAAAAATAAAAATTTTAAAAAAAATCTGCATGAATATGGTCGAGCATGGAATCCTCCAGCTGTCCATTCCGGCAAACTATGGTAACAAACTCAAGGTCTCATAGCTTTAAATGTTAAAGGAACTATCGGGTTCAACTATGATGTAAAACTTCCAAATTTGAATGAATAACGAGTAACGACTACTACCTTTTTCCCAAACTCAACTTCAGCATCTTTACACTTTAATTAGCTTCCTTCGTCAATCAGCCCTCTAAGGCACCATTGGAAAGTTTTGACGACGTTGTGAGTGCACTTCCGTTAATGAGCTCTCGGTTTCCACTTTGGAAGTCTTGGATCTCTGCTTCTGTAATGATGTTACCTTCCTTGTGCACAAGATCTTTTTGCCCACTGCTTGTTTCGCAAATAACATCAGTAGCATCATTCATCTTATCTGGATTTGGAATATCCAGGGATTCAATGTCACTCTTTTGGGCATTCATTCCAGACCTAAAGGAAGAAAACCTACTTGTCAAAATCAGTTCGGAGAGCAATACTACAGGGAAAGTGTAAAACAACAAAAGACCAACCTTCTGGATGAAGAGACTCTGGGTTCCTTTTTTGTTGAGGAGGTTCTTTTCGCTTTCTTATTCATCAATCTGCTGCTCAAGTTCATCAACCATTAACCATACAAAAAAATAGTAGTGGCATATTAAGGTGATACTAAATACAATCTCTATCATTAATGTAGTAAACAGAAGTAAATACGACAGACAACAGTCAAGAATATGTAAAGAACTAAGATATGTCCAAGGTAACAAGGAAATTCAGAATCAATACTTACAGAACAGATGAAACATCATTGCTTTGAAGATCTGTTTCATGCTTCTGTACATTAACAAAATAAAAAAAAATAAAAAAGAATCAATCACAAACATATGTAGTGCCATTTATAATTTTAAACTATATTAAGAGATAACACTGTATCAGATGAGAAAGGACCTTGTCAGATGGACGGTCTTCAAGAGTCAATGAGCTATCTAAGGAAAGTATGAAAGTCTCAGATCTCTGTTTCTGTGTGATCATGTTATCTTCCTTATCCACAAGATCTTTTTGCCCAGTGCTCGTTTCACAATCAACATCAGTAGCATCATTCATCTTATCTGGAATTGGAATAACCGGGGATTCAATGTCACTCTTTTGGGCCTTTCTTTTTGACCTGAAGAAAGAAACCTACTTGTCAAAACCCTCACAACCTTCCAGTTCAGAGAGCAATACTACGAGAAAAAGTGTACAGCAACAAAAGAACAACCTTTTGGATGAAGAGATTCCAGGTTCCCTTTTCTTTGAGGAGGTTCTTTTTGCTTTCTTTGAGCTGCTAAGTTCATCAACCAATAACCATATCATATCCCACCATAGTAGTCGCATATTAAGGTGATTATAAATACAATCTCTATCTTAAATGTAGTAGATAGACACACAATAGATGACAGTCAAGAATACGTAGCAAACTAGGATATGCCCAAGGATTTAGAAATCAATACTTACGGTATAGATGAAACATCACTGCTTTGAAGATCTGTTTCATGCTTCTGTACATATTGCGTCAAAAAGAATTGTATCACAAAGATATGTAATGTTAATGACAATCTGAAAATATGTTAAGAGATAAATAACATCAGATGGGTTTAGGACCTTGTCAGATGGATGGTCTTCAAGCATCAATGAGCTCTCTAAATCAACTTTCGAATTCTTGGATATCTGATTCTCATTGATCATGTTATCTTCCTTGTCCACAGGATCTTTTTTTCTGCTGCTCGTTGCGCAACCAACATCAGTAGCATCATTCATCTTATCTGGAACTGGAATATCCATGGGTTCAGTTTCACCCTTTTGGGCATTTCTTTTAGACCTGAAGATAGATAACCTACTTGTCAAACCCTCGGAACAGTCAGTTCGGAGAGAAATACTACAGGAAAAAGTGTATAGCAACATAAGAACAACCTTTTGGATGAAGAGACTCCAGGTTCCCTTTTTGTTGAGGAGGTTCTTTTTGCTTTCTTCTTCATGGATCTGCTCAAGTTCATCAACCAATAACCATATCATATCCCAATAATAGTACTGCCTTATCAAGGTGATATGAAATACAATCTCTAACATTAAAGTAGTAGGTAGGAGTAAACACAACATTCAAGACTATGCATAGGATGCATCCAAGGTACAATGAAAATTTAGAAATCAATACTTACGGAACAGATGAAACAGCATTGCATTGAAGATCTGTCTCATGCTTCCGTAAATACTTCATCCAATAGAATCATATCACAAGGCGATGTAAGGCCAATAATAACTTGAAAATATGTTAAGATAACACAGTATCGAATGAGGAAAGCACCTCGTCAGATGGATTGTCTCCAACCATCTCCCACCGTTCCTTAGTCAGATTCAAGGTTTCCACTTGTTCGTCATAATATAAGACCTCAAAAGGAAAGAAAGCAAATAGCATCAGTCAACTTGAAACTTCTAGATGGTTCAAGTTAGCAAAAATTACCACTTCACTTCTGGGATATATTTCCCTTTCTTGCAGATAAAATGGATTTTTATTGCAATGACTATATTTGGTTCCGTAAACAGTTCTGCCTCTATGCTACTGAGCAGGAAGATGGAGTCAATTGGACAGGCAGATATTTTTCGGTAAATAGCATTGCCATTTGCCTCAACATTACTGAGCAGGGAGTCAATTGGACTTGCAGATATTTTGGCAAATGTAATATTTGGAGTTTGTCTCGATTAAACTTGAGAAGGAAATAAATGATATCATGGATCCAAACTGACTACCGATGTATAACTTTACGGACTTGGGAACAGTGTATACATTCTTGTCATCATTATTAAGTGCATATATATCAGGATATCACAAAATGAAAAGCATATGAGCAATAAACTGGAATGAAAACTGTATAGAAATGAACTCGAAAACAGCAGACAGCTTGACAATAAGATCACTACCTTGTGTCTCTTTTTCACAGGATCAAACTCAGTAATTGCACCCTCATAGAACCTGCAAAGAGAAACTTAAGATCACAAACTTTAGCTAGACACTTTTTTCCATATTCAAGACATGATCAAAGTCAATTTGGTACAAGGAATTGAAGATGTGCTCTGATACTCTACAAGTCAAAATGCCAAGTGAACAATTAACTAAACTGTTTGCTGTCATCATTGACTTGGTAGTCATGTGCAATATGTCATTACTAAATGTTCCGAGTGAATTTACAGATTTAATTGATAATCTTTTTTTTTCATTGATAAAGCAGAAAAAAAATCTGGAAATATATTTTTTGTCAACCTAAGAAATTATCCGATGGTTCAAAAGAAACTTCCTTATATTCATGGAAATGGTGTTCCTTGTTGCCTTTTCGGTTAGTTTCGGTGACTACGATCGACGTTTTGTGTAAACGGATCGGGATTAACATTTTGACGGTCCTGGTGGGTCCGTATCGTGATTTGAAACTTGGGCATATACCCGAAATCGAATTCAAAAGTCCCTAACTTGATTTAACGTAATTTGTTG